ACCAACTTCATTTTCCAAAAGAAGAAAGTTGGGTCCAGCGAGGTCAAAAGACAGCATAGGTAGCAGAGCCTGGACTAAGGCCAGACGTTCCGGCTCCTGGCTCTGTGCACCTGGGCTGTGTGAGATTCTTAACTAGTGACGAGAATAGCTAATGAGGCCTGACTACCAAGGACCAGGTATTTTGCTAAGTTCTTTCTTTATGTGAACTCATTTAATCCTTGCAATCTCTCTGTGAGGGTAGGGGCTATTGTTATACCTCCTTCTAGGAAGCAGAAGCGGACGGTGAGCGAGGGGAAGTAACTTAACCAGAGTTAAGAGACAGTAAAGGCAGGTCTGAGGCACAAACCCGGGCTTTCTTCTTCAGACCCGCTGTGCTCTGTCAGCCGGAGAGCAAGCGAGCACAGCTCTGGGGTTTTGTGGAGGGAGGACCAAGTCTTATTCCTCCCGCTGGGAGAACCCAGACTTCAGAGTTCATGGGGGCAGTCCAGCCCCTTCTCCAACGCTAGGTGGTGCACCTGGGGTTCTCAGCACCCACCTGGGAGGGGGGACGCCTCGGGGACCCTCTTACCCCCTCGCCACCCTGATCTCAAAATACAACAGTCAACTCGATTTTTTTTTTAAAGGCAGATGGCATCCTGTGTGAGCTATTCCTAGTCTTCAGCTTGGGGACCCCCGCCTGTGTGGGAGGGTAATCACCAGGAAGAGAGGAGCTCTCAGGAGAATTGTTGAGCGGCTGCTTGTGTGGTGGGAGCTTTGCTCTTCCCACTTGGCATTTCAGAGTGCAATAGAGCAATTAACATCCGTGCTGTGAGTGCTGAGTGTCAGGCTGTCTTTACACACAGTGCCTCGCCCTCAACAAGACAACTTGGCTAACCATCCCCTTTCTCTCCCCCCACCTCCACCCCCATTTGTATCTTTATATCACTTACGGTCTTTTTAAAAAATTTATCTTTATTGTTGAAAGTATTACAGATGTTCCCCCTCTCCCCCGCCCCCCAAATTCGCCCCCCTCCCTGCCACTCCCTTCTGGTGTTAGATTAGCCTTTGATTACAGCTACAATAGGTCTGGAGACCTCCAACTGATAGAATCACTGGCCATATCTTAACCTCAAACAAGTTTTGTGTTGTTTTCCCACAGGGTTTCATTTATTTTGAAACACTAGCTTCCAATGAAAAAAAATTAGGAAGCATTCGACGAAAATCTGGATTTCCTGTTTTTCTTGAAATGTAGGAAAATAAGGCAACACTAGACCTTTGTTCCCAACTGTGACGCTTTGCTGACGCTGTGAGTCAGCCTGGCTCCTCCAGGCTTCTGAGCTTACCGCCCGTCCCGGGGGGAGAAGGTTCAGGAGGGAGTCTCCCAAAATATCCGACTGTGCAACCCATTCCAGGCCGACCCAGGAGGGGCCTCAACATTCCAGTGTAAGATGTGACACACACACACATGTGATGCAAGCTACGAGTGTTCAGACCAGATGCTTCTCCTTCCCTTGTCATGGCTTCTCTGCCTGCAGGTGAAGGGCCACCGTCATGCCCCTGTTCAGCCCTTACTTCATCTGTTTCCATGTGTGGAGGGCAGAGGCATTCTTTTGATTTAATGTACTCTCCCTGCCCTACAGTGAGCACAGCTCTTTGAATATCTTAGATGGCTCATCACTGTGGAAATTAGGAAGATGCTGTGCTGGGAACCAGGATGCAACAGGTCAACATGATAGGAGGTGAGGTAGGTTGAGAAGAAACAACTGAGAAGGAATAATTGAGTGCAGGTCCAAGGACCGAGGAAGTGGCCCCGGCAGAGGCCCAGGGAGTAAGTACTTGGGAAGTACAGGCTTGGAAACGGGGTTGGGCAGCTTGTGAGGTCAGAGAACTCCAAATAAGACTTAGGTAGGACTTTTGGAAGATTCCTTGACTCTCCCCTCCATATTCCATTGAGTCTACTTTCAAAATGCTTCCAGACTTCACACATTTCTCCTAACCTGTATCTTTACCACCCCAGCCCTAGCCGTGGTCATCGCTCACCATCGTGACCTTAAGAGCCTCCTTTTTAGTGCCCTCCTCCACTCCTACCCTCCAAAGCTCCATCCTTTCACTGCAGCCAGAGCCACCCAAACTGCCCCCGGCAGGTGAGGTCCTACAGGCTTTGGGCTCTGGGACCTTTTTGACCCCGCTCCCCCTTCTCTCTCAGGCCTTTTCAAGCACACCTTTTAGTTTCTGAGCATGTTAAGGCGGCTTTGCACTTGGTGTTCCCTAACCTTGGAATGTTCTTCCTGCAGAAATCCCCAAGGCGCCCTCCCTCTAACCAGGTCTCTGATCAAACAGCACACCCTCTGTGAGGCTTTCCCTGACCACCACCTGGAACAGAATCCTCCACACCCCCCACGCATGCACACACAATTCCCTTATCCCCTTTTCCTCAGAACACACGTCATGCTATGTTATATGTTTATCTGTGTTTTCCTCTAGAATGTAAGCGCCATGAGAGCAGAGACTTTTCCTGGCACATAGCAGGTGCTCAGTAAACAAGTGAAGGAGTCTAGCAGAGCGGGAGCAGTGAGAGATGCCAGAGTCAGGGTTGTCTTGGGAGGAAGAGGTAATATTTAACGCACAAGAGGAGATTTCAGTACAATACTTGGCATATGTGATAAATATTTAATCCAATTCAATTCAATTCAAGTATTTATAGTGCAATTACTATATGCAGGCCACAATGCCAAGAGTTGTTTGCAATAAATGATTATTTAAGGGCGGATCATGCTGGCAAGGGAGCGGGGTGGGGGCAAATAAGACCCCTTAGTTATTTAATCCCTCATAGCATGTTCTTCATTGCCCTGCGAGCTGCAGGTCTTTCTTCCCCTCTCTCTCTTTTTCTCTCTCTCTCTTGCATAAATGAATTATCAGTCTATTCCTTCATTAAATCTTTTCACTATCATACTGTTCAGTAGGGTGAAAAAAGCATATTACAAACCCATAGTCCCTTTCTGAGTTCTGAACGCCACCCAACCCCCCAATCCCCAATCTTTCAGGCCTTTGCTGGCACACCCAGTTGCTTTTTGGACATCTTCACTTGCATGCCCTCAGGCAACTCAAACTCAGTCCATTCAGCCTATTCTACTATCCTGATCTCAGCCTTGGAGGCTGAACTGGTTTTTCTGGCCCATCCTCACCCTCAACCCCAGGAGCCTACCTCCCCACATCAAGGAACCTGCTCACTCCTCTCCCTCCCTGTTGCCACTTCTGTGGTTCGGTCACCATCACCTTTTGTCTGGATTTCCGGCAACACCCCCAGCCGCTTTTAGAACTCCATTCCATCCATCCTCTGTACCTAGGCCAGAGTGGTCTTCCTACAGTGGACAAAACCTCGCTTCGCTAAGGCCCTGGGCTAAAGTCCAAACTCCTTAACACAGCGTCCAGAGCGCTCCTGGTTCAGGCACTGGGTTTCTTCTCTGCTCATTTATTGCACTTTCTTACAGCCTAGTTTGGGCCCAACAGAGATTTCTGGTCCTCTAAGTGGGCCACTCTCTCTCTCCCCTCTGGGTCTGCCAGGATGCTGAGTCCAAGGCCTGTGACTCCTCACTCTCTCCTCTCTCTTCCTCTGCTGCCTCTTCTGCTCTTTGATTTTTCCTAGAAGCCGTCCTGGGTGACCAACTCCCCCTCCTCCTCATGCCTCGACCCCCAACATAGGACCTATGTCCCTGCATTGTTTCTTCAACACTTTTTTTTTTCTTGCCATCCCTGTTTTATTGTCTCCTCATGAGACTGCAAGCTCCAGGAGGACAGGGCTGTCCTGGTCTACCTTGGTCACCTTGTGAGGATGCCTACCCAGCACCTAGGTGGGTTGGATAAGTATCAGATGAATGAAAATGCACTTGCTTGGGTAGGACTTCCTCATAAAACAATTACAGCTGACATTTACTGAGTGTAGAAGATGTGGCAGGCACCATTCTGTTTTGCACGTGTATCACGGGCATCTCACATAACCATGACAGATGGGGAAACTGAGGTACAGAGTCCCCGACCATGGTTTGTCTTGAGGAAGTAGAGGAACCAGGGTTAGAACCTAGGCTATTTCAGAGTCCAATTCGGTCTCAACTTCTAGGAAATTCGGTGCTAGAGTGAAGCGCAATATGGGTTGCACTATATGAGGAGGCCCATGTCCTCTGCGAAGACTTTGTTTTTGTGCCGCCCTCCTGGAGGCCCTGGGGCCTTCTCTGGGCTTTGGGAAGGGCCTGTGCATCTAGTCTGCGACCCCGGAGGCTGCCAGTGAACCCCTGTTAACTTTTGGGCTGCTGGCCCGCACGCCAGGTCCTGGGTGGCCCTCCCCACCGGAGGTCCGGCTCGGGATGCCTCCACGATGCAATTATACATTGGATCTTGAGTCCACTAACTGCTCTTGAACTCTTTGGGCTAGTGACTAAACAGAGCCCATGAGACGCAATCCCTCAGATGCTATAGATGGATTTCTGGGATTTTTACAAGTCAGAATGCTTGAGATGTCTTCAGTCCCT